ATTTACCAGTAGATCTACGTCCCTACCCTCACCTATGGTGACAACCTGTGGGTAGTGACTGAAAGAACAAGATCGTGGATACAAGAGGCAAAAATTGGCTTTTTCTTTTACTACTATTACAGTTTGCAAGTAGCATGTACGACCACATCATTGAGTTGCGTGTTGTAGCCACACAGTGTTTTGTAGTAGTACAGAACAGTAAGTGAATTGTGAGTTTCTGGATTTTGAATTTAAAATCATGTGTAAATCATATTTTCAGGCTGGCCACCCCCACAAAAATCATCTAGCTCCCCTGGCAAGAATAGATACAAATACTAAATTTGTGAAACTGTTTTCAATTTCAAATGAACTCACTTATTATAGCATCATATGAATTCAATTCCCTGAAAAATGTCAAAAAGAAAAAAACCCTCAGATCTGCTAACTGTGATTAAGGGAAAAGCTTCTTAAGTAAATTAATGAATGGTTAAGAAAGCTTTTAATGCTTATTATTAGCAAATGCATGTTTTAGACATTTACTTAATTATTCATGTCCTTCAGTAAACGATATATGGAATAAATATGAGAAAATAATATTAGTTACTCAGGAAAACAAATACAGCTACATGTTTCTTTCTAAGGTTTTGAGGCATTTTTCATTGAAGGAAAAAACATAATTGAACAGCACTTCCTCAAAAGCCAGCATACCAACGTTCCTGAAAGTATCACAGCTGCGCCACGTGATCATCTTTTTGTCAATCTTGGCTCTTCACTTATTTTCAGAAATTCCATCCTGTGGGATACCTCCAGCTCTTGAGGACCGCCATAAAAGAGCATTACAGCCATAATGAAACTATTGAATATATGTGTCAGAGGTACTACATTATGGAGGGAGAGCCTTACAAAACCTGCCTCTATGGTGAATGGACTGGACACATGAGATGCCTCAGTAAGTTACAGTTTTCCCCAATCTTAAGAATAATTTTATCATAATATTCTTTTACATCTTTTTCATAATATTCTTATATCTTTGTCTCTTGCAGGGCCTTGCATTGTGAATGAAGATGAAATGAGACCCCATAACATCACCTTGAAATCAAGTGGCACTAAGTCAGGGGTGTCAAACTCAAATACACAGTGGGCCAAAATTCAAAACTGGAACAAAGTCACGGGCTAACATTAATATTTATT